GGCTCCCTGCTCCGCGGGAAGCCTGTTTCTCCCTCTCCCACTCCCCCTGCTTGTGTTCCTGCTCTCGCTGTCTCTCTCTGTCAAATAAAGAAATAAAATCTTAAATAAATAAATAAATTAAATTAAATTAAATAAAAAGAGAGAGAAAGAAAATTGACAAACACTATAAACCAGGGCTTTTTCCCTCTGTACATGACTGTTAATATTTATCAACATACCACTCAATAAAACCCATATGAAATACTTGCTCTCCTAGAGATCTAGTTAATCTAGCTCCAAGAGGTTAACAAAAAAAGCACATGTACAAACACAAAAGGTAAACAGCACCTCTATCTCAGCATGTGGACAAGACAGCTGCAACGTAAATAGTATGGAACCCTTACCCATCCGAGCCTGGCGTCAGCAGTCACGCTGCTCAGGCAAAAGGCAGGCAGGACTTGGAAGTCAAACTGAAGAAGTCTCCAGGGTGCTCTGATCTGCATATCCTTACACCTGGCTAGCAGCCACCATCTGTACATACAACTCAGCTGCTCACTATAGGGGGACACGGACCCCACACACGGGATGGCTATTCAATTTTATTAGCCAGATAAAGATTCCAAATGGTTTTATCAGCTCCAACACTCTAACCATAGACCTTTGATAGCAGGACCAAATTCTTTTTAAAGGAAACGTGGTATTTTTACTAGTATATACAAATTGAATGATTTTTTTTCTTTAGTAAGCTTTTTAAGTTAAGTATAACGGCACTACGGTAAAGGGTACTAACCCTAAGTGTAAGGTTCAATGATTTTTCAGTGAACACACTACACAACCACCACCCAGATGAAGAAGGAACATCATTCACACCTCAGAAATCTCCCCACCAGAGCCCCTCCTCCCAGTCATTATCCCCCTTTCTCCAACTGCCTCCCCAAAGGCAATTCTTTTGATTTCTAATATTTTAAATGTGTTCTGCCAAATGTGCTTATCCAAGCTCTTGTTGAACATCTGGGTAACAGGAACAGTCTTGTACGCGTCCTCTGGTGCTCATATGTACACATTTCTATTAGGGTCCTACACAACAGTGTACTTTACTAGGGTCAAAAGACACACACGTGTAGCTTGAATGGATCCTGAGACACCGTTCTCCAAAACAGCTGAACTAATTTACATTCACAGGAGAGTTAGAGTTGTTTCTCGTTCTCTCAACACTTGACGTGGCTGGTCATTCTAATTCTAGACACTCTGGTGCATATGTAGTGCTATCTCTTTGTGGTTTTATTTTGCACATCCCTGCTGACTACGGAGATAAACCACTTTTCTGTATATTTTTCAGTCATTTGGATATCCTCTTTTGTGAAGTACCTGTTCAAGTCTTTGCCCATCTTCTATTCCTTTGTCTTTTTCTCACTGCCCTGTCGGGAGTTCTTTACATATTCTGAACATGAGTTGTTAGTTAGATGAACTGCATATATACTCTCTTACTCTGTAAGCCACGTATTCTCTAAATTAATTTTTGCAGAGGTAGTATTAGCTAGTTTAACACCGGAATAGGCCTCATGCAGGCAAAATTCTCTGAGAGGCAGGGATTGTATTATAATATACTTGGTATCATCTGCATCACCAAGAATAATGCAGTTAACTACAAAAGGCTTTTAGAAGATGTTTAATTTCATCTAGATATGGTTTACATCCTACTATAATTTCTTTTTTATATACACATATCTATGTATGCATCCCTTTCAAATAAAGATATCTTCACAGTGAATTAATTCATGTAAACACCTTTTACTTAGAACCCACATTTATAAATTGAGAAACTAGATATAGTTCCTATTCTAATTTAAATACTAAGTTTAACACCAACCGCCCAAACTGAACTCTAACACAACTAGACTTTAATTTCCTTCTTCTCTTGTGTGAGGTCTAAGTTGCACTGGACACATTAATGAGGAGGCTGCTCTTCAAAGTCAAAGGGTCTCTTTCAGTGCAACCCCTGAGAGAACAGCGCTCGGACAGCCATAGGTGATTGGAAAGAGGGTGGGCACTTGACCCAGGGCAGTTAACCACAGGCTGGCCAAAGGTCAGTGATGCAGCCTAGAGTGAAAAGATCAGTCAAATCAATTCAACTCCCTCTCTCCAGAATCTGATAGAGAAGTACTGAGAGAGAGAGAGAGAGAGAGAGTGGAAAAGGGTCCCCCCAAAAAAGTAATATATGGAGAAAGAAGCTATAAAGAAGAGTTAGGCCAAGGTCACAGCAAAGCCACAGCAACGTTAAAACAGAAGCTATGAGGTGCAAGTCAGGAGAACGCGGTAAGAATAAGCAACAGGTACTGAAAAATAGAAGCCGACAGGTAGAGAGCAGCGGAGTCCTGTGAACAGTGGGCCCTACCCTACACTCTTGCTACTGAGGCTCCCAGTGCTATTGTGAATGCTGTTCTAGTCCCTTAAATCTGGGCTGTCCTGCCTAGCTTCTCAGATGCGATTGTACTTAAGCTTTATTTGAGCATTTCTTACATTTCTATGCATCCCTGTTTCCCCAATGGCCCCCACCTATAATCCCTTCAATAAAATTTAGGGGAACTCAAATGAGTCCCCATACCTTGTACCAAAAGAGCATAGTAACACAACACTTCAACTCCATCTAATAAAGGGACTGATTTATGATTAGAGATGTCTTCCATGAATTCAAGATAAGATATATTAGACACTTTAAGAGGGGGAAAATAGGGTGGCCTGGGTGGCTCAATCAGTTAAGCGTCTGCCTCTTGATTTCAGCTCAGGTCATGATCTCAGGGCTGTGAGATCAAGCCCTGCACCAGGCTCCACGCCCGGCGTGGAGCCTGCTTGAGATTCTCTCTCTCCATCTCCCTCTGCCCCTTGCCCCACTCATGCATGCCTCTTTCTCTCTAAATAAAATCTTAAAATAAGGGGGGGGGGACCAGGGGGAAATATGTAGACATCAACAAGGAAGCTGATCAAGTGACTCCCATGGCAAACCAAGAAGCTGGTACCTGAGTGACATTATCTTCGTCGGCACTGTTGAAGCGTTGCACATTGGGAGAACACTGGCTGCTGTGTTCCATGGCATAAGGTTGCTGTTCCGGAGCACTAAAGCTATTGGGGTAGTAATTTGGAGTACCACCTTCAAAAGAAAACCATACAGATTCACTTAGGGAGAGGAAAAATGAATTAAGTCTACAAGCAGTCAATGTAATAAGATATAATTCAAGTGGCAATCACATATACGTGTATATACACACACATGCATGCCTAGATATACACACACAATATATACGCAGTTCATGTACATATTATTTTTAACGTCTCCTATTTAGCTATACGCAGGACTCAGATTCTTAGAGAATAATGCCACCTTCCAAATGCTCTCATGGGCGGTCTCACTCTGAGTTTTAATGAAGAGATCTCAAGTTTTCTTTAACACTTCAAGTGATCTGATCTTTAAAATCTTCCAATGCTTACTGGTACAAATATATTTATACAGGTTTGATCTGGCCCCCATAGAAGATGAGACCCAAAGATACATTTCAAATCTGAGAGTTTCATTTGGGCTTGGGCTCAATCCAGACACTGAATCACAGAACTCTTGGGAGCAACTGAAAGTTCTAGCGCTGCTCCTTCAATCTACAGACACATATAAACTGAGCCCTGAGATGTTAACTGCCTGCTGCCAGGTCACATGGTGGTTAGTGGTAGAGCTGGGATCTGGGATCTGTTTTGTCTCTTCCATTCCAGTACAGACTATATTCCCATTACACAACTCTATTTCACTATTCCTTCAAGGTTTTAAGATTCTTGGAGTATCTTTCCTTTATTGACTACGACTTTATTCAATTCTAGCTTCCCTTTCCCTTCCCTCTACAGATAAATAAAAAAGGATTGTTTTTTTAGTTTGATATTTCTAGTATGGCAGCACTCATTTATCTGGACTTATAGAAAAAAATAATGACATATGCAATCAAAACATATCTTCTGACTTCTGGAATAAATTAAAATAAATTTTTCATTTTGGCATATTTATTTTCCTAACTGCTTCAGCTAATGTTGGCTGAAGCTTGAATTACCTGAGCACATGCTGCCTAAGCAGGAGTGGCCTAGAAACATCTTGAGTGTTTTGAACAAACCAATCTGAGGTTAGAATCTTAACCAGCTCACTGCCAGGATAGATTATGCAGAGTGAATAATCAAGAGGTGCCTATAGATCACACCCATCAAGTGCATGTAGGGAGAAGGAGGGCCCCATACTATTATGGGGCCCAATTATTAGCCCTTGGGATTCATTCCAGGTCAGCAAAATGCTCCAACAACCAGCTACCACAGTGGTCTTCTGCACCAAGAATTAGTTCTTTGAAATGTGCCTATTTGAGTAATTTTAAAATTCTATCTCCAAATGAGTTCTGACCCTTCCTCTGGGAGTTGTCTTCAAGTCATTGACTACTGGGAACAATTAAGCTCTTTCATTAAACTTCAAGAGCACAACCCAAATGCTCAGCTTATAAAAGTAGGCAAAGGGTGTGTCAAAATGTATCCTTAAGTAGTTTTTCATACACATGCCACCATAATGGTGAACAAGAATGATAAACATGAAGCAAGTACTTATTAATGAAGTTCCAGAATATACATGAACCTCTCCGATACAGCCGGTCTCAGGAACAAAAGGACTGACAAATATGAAAGGAAGAAATCACTTTAGAATAAAAATGCAGAAGACCAACACAGGAAATATCAGCTACTTTGGGCAACAGCACACCCCATGAGCTCTATAAACCTCAGGGAGCAAAAGTGCTGCAAATACTTGATGTAATCAGTTAGTGAGCAAGTAAACTCGTTAAATACATACAAAGGCTTAGTCATAATGGTAACAAATGCAAGGCACAAAATCATATAAACAAAATAATCTTAAGTCTATAAAAAATAGTCCCAGAGAAAACTGGCAGGAAATAAAGCAAAATGCAACAGTTGTGGCCTCTGAGTGTTGGGGCTGTAAGTGGGTTTTTCTTCTCCCCTTCTCTTCTTTCCCTTATATTTTCCAAATTTTCTTTTCTTTCTCTTTGTATCAGAGAAAAGTAAACTTGGTTTGAATATAGACATCTATGGCTATAAATATAAATCATCAGTAAAATTTCTGAAGGGATCAATGTAAGCAGCCTATTACCAAAAAAAAAATGTGCCCAAATAAGAAAACAAAAGAAAGAAAATTAAGATCGATATTAAACTGGGGAGCATTAAAAGGAAAAAACATTAATCAAACATTCACTAATTAGAACAAGTAATCAAAAATAGAGGCTGTTTATACATGGCACCAAAAACAGTAGTTAAAAGAAAAGAAATTCATAAATTTGATAAATGAGCTCCAAAGAACAAAATACAATAGAGTCTCATCTCACCAGCTGATTTCCATGAATTCAACTATATTATATTCACTTTGAAAAAAAAGTAAGGGAGGATTACTTGATTCACTCTGTCTCCCTTATTCTAACCTGTCCCATGCCCCATTTGTTCCTCCTTGACCCCAGCCAAGTGTAATGGAAAACAAGAAAGAGGAACTCTTGCACTTTTGCACTTCTAAGAGTCTAAGTCCTAGTGATTTAAGAGTGATAAGGAACTGTCCACTTTGTGAAAAGTCTTTAAAACCTAACCCCTAAGCTGAATGCTACTCTTCAACAGCCAGTGTGAAAGATCTTTCTCCCACCTTTCATTATCTGATGGACGGCAAGGAAAATCTGAGATGGGAACTCTCAATAAAATATATCAAACAGATAAAAGTATAGAGTCTTCGGGCAGTTTAAACCATCCTTGCTTCATAGAGCAGAAGGTCCCCTGGGTTGTCTTCATAGAGCAGGAGCCTGAAGACCATGGGCCTAGCAGGGCATCCCGCCCTCTGCTCAGTGGCACCCTCGGCATCCCCCCCCACCCGCCTGGGTGAGCCAGACGTCTGAGGCCTACCCTGATTGTCGAGCATGCACATGGGGCCATCACGCTGGTAGTTGGCCACTCGAGCACGGAAAGGACAGTTCACAGGTATCTGAAGATAGTTGGGTCCCAGGCGGTGGCGGTGAGTGTCAGGATAGGCAAAAAGGCGGCCCTACAGTTATAAATGAAACAGGCACTGACTGCGTGCAGTCACACACACAGCAGAATGGTCTGTACACTTCATTCTCAAATTTCAAGCACAAAGCACTCTGTACAGCGTTACCACCAAACCCTGACTAGCCCCCCAAAAGAGCAAAGTTTCTTCTCTCATGAAATGAGTTCTCCCGAACTGAACGGTCCTTAATCTTCCCTGTCAAACAGCCAAAGAGCCACAAGTCTTCACACCTGTTCTAGGTAAGAACTTCTTTTTTCCCCTCAAATAACAAGTAAGTGCCCTGCCTTGTATTACTTCCTACGCTCAAGGATGTTATCACATTGTAAAATACATCTGCTAGAACCCCACTAACTGGAATCTATGTCCTTCTCACTGTGATCTGGCTTACTGCTTTGAATAACACTTTAAAGTTTATTAACACGATCTTGTTGAAAGGTAATGGAGACCACTGTTCATGACCATACAACCACTATCACCCTGGGATGCTCATTAGTCCCCATCAGAGTGATTTCAAAGGCCCCCTACCTGGATCGCCACTTCCAGCCCCTCCTTCACCATCACCGTCCTACACACTCCTGCCAAAAGCATCAGCCTCAGACCCCACACAGATTATGTGACTTAACTACTCAAAAAACTTGAAACGTTTCCTCACTGGTCACCAAACGGCTAAATAAGTACAGCAGTCTTTCCCTGTTGTATGTATGGCTCCTCACATGCTCTCTGGCATCAGAACTCACAGCTAACTGACTTACATTGTAGAAAGACTGGGCTAGGGACTGATATCTTGACTGCACCTACTAAATAAAGCCCTTGCACTTTCTAAACACACTTAAAAAAAAAAAAAAGAAGACAGCACATTAAATTTAAAATATGTTTGCCATAGCCAAAATTAATACCGACAGAAATTACAGGATTCATTCATAAATTCAATTCACTAATAGAATTGCATGATTTCGGTTTATCATCTTTTCTCAGGACTTTCTCCCCAACAGTTTCAATGAAATGTCTTAGACATTTGCTTTTTGTTGTTGCAGAGAACATGGATATGATCTGTGGTCCTTTGCCCTGGGCCTAGGCCTCCACCCAGTGCCTCTCAGCTCTTCTAATTGTATGACTCAGTGTTGTTAACTGTCTCCAGGTCTCACTGTGGCCCCAGAGACCCTTGGTGACCTGAATTGTGAAAAGAATTTGGATAATATTTGTTCTTTAACCTGTTCCCTCAATACCAGGGCTATGCAGTTTTAGCTCTACCCATGATAAATTCATGCCTTGGCAAATCCCAGTAACCTCCTTCACACGGTTCACCTCCCTTCCAACCCCAAGGGAGGGAAGGTTGGATGCCCAGCGTCCCAGGGCTTGGCTTCCTTTACTCCTTTCAACACAAGCACTCTGCCTGTGCTCCGTGATCTGCTTGGCTTTACTTCTCTATTCTCTGACCTCCAGTTCACCAACTGGACTGATTCTACTTGATACACACAGACCACATTTCTCAAAACTGAAGAAACCTTGTCCTAAAAGGAACAATTGTACAAACTTCTACTCAAGCACTAAAGTCCCCTCTGACCTATGCTCAATGTACCCAATCTTATTTCTTCTACTTTAGGAAGAAGTGACTGTTCACAATTTATATAGACCCAACATGGCCCACCGTTGCTCCTATACTCAGGTCTCTCTCCTGTCCCATTTTACCTCTGTTGAAAACTGAAATCCTACCCATTCTTCAAAAGCCATCTCAAATGCTACCTCATTCTTGAAACTTTGTCGTCATCCTCCTAACAGACAAGATTTCTCCTAATTCAAATGGCACTCTGCCTTATATTATAGTTATCTTGTGTTTTCATATGTTATAGCAGCCAGAGCAGTCTACCATCCGCAGAGAGGTATTCAATTTCTATTAGTTAAGGGGCAGCTGGGTGGCTCAGTCAGTTAAGCGTCCAACTCTTGATTCGGCTCAGGTCATGATCCCGGGGCCCTGGGATCGAGCCCCGCGTCTGGCTTCTTGCTCAGCAGGAAGCCTGCTTCTCCCTCTCCCACTCCCCCTGCTTGTGTTCCCTCTCTCACTCTCTCTCGGTCAAATAAATAAATAAAATCTTTAAAAAAATTTTAAAAAACAAAATAAAATAAAATTGTCCAAAATTCAAAAGTATACAGAACTTTTTGAGTTCACCTCTACCAATCTTTCACATCTTTAAAAGCTCTGATAAGGATTTTAAAGCCTTCAATTTGTCTTATCAGTTCATTTAAAGTGAAATTTGGCCATTTGCTTTGTGGTACCGCGAACTAAGAGGCAAAGATATGGCCAAGTAGCTTGGCCACTTTTCTCTGAGAAAAGCATGTGCTAAGTTCTTAAAACTCATTTCCTTAGTAGATAAGTTAAAGTGATACTCCTTTATTAGGGAAACACAAAATTAATGTATTTTTAAACCAAAATTCTGACACTGAATTTGAAAAGAACAAGGAGATCCTTCCCAGAGCTTAAAAGCCAGATCTAGTCCTCTTTTCAGAAGAGCAAGCAATCAATTTTAAAATACCAGGAGCTGAGGGGCACCCGGGAGGATGCAGTCAATTGAGAGTCTGACTCTTGGTTTCAGCTCAGGTCATGATCTCAGGGTTGTGAGATCGAGTCCCACATTGGCTCCATGCTCAGCCCGGAGTCTGCTTGAGTTTCTCTCTTCCTCTTCCTCTGCCCCTCCCACTTGTGCACACACTCCCTCTCAAATAAATAATCTTTAAAAATAAATAATATAATATAATATTAATAAAATACCAGTTGATCTTTAGACAGTGGTGTGCCAGAGGTTAAGTGAAATGCCTTTTAAGGTGAGAATATGAGAAATGAAAACATGTATCCACACAAAAGCATGTACCTGAACGTTCTAGCAGCATTATTCATAGTAGCCAACAAGTGGAGACATCCACATGTCTATCGACTGATGAATGGGCAAATAAAACACAGCATATCTATACAATGGAATATTATTCGGCAATAAGAGGAAATGAAGTACTAACACATGCCGCAACATGTAAGAACCTTGAAAACATTATGCTAAGTGAAAGAAGCCAGTCGAAAAGACCATACACTGTAGGACTCCATTTAAGTGAAATGTGCATATCTAACACAGCAGCTAGATGGGTGATGGTCAAGGGGTGGTGCAGGATTCAGATGGGGGAATGGTGAGTGATTGCTAATGGTACAGGGTTTTTGGGGGGCGAGGGGGTGCCAAAAATGTCCCAATATCAATTGTGATGATTATACAAGTCTGTGTATATACTAAAAACCACTGAATTGTACACTTTCTTTGAATTTTATGGTATATAAATTATATCTCTAAAAAGCTCTTATTTTTTAAAAAAAAAAAAGAGGTTCCAATGATCCACTGTGTCAAACACTGCTAAGAGACCACGTGAGTCAAGAATGACTGTTGTCATTATTGTGCTAAAATATATATAATACAAAATTTAATATTTTAACCTTTCTTTAAAGATTTATTTATTTATTAGAGAGAACAGAGGGGAGGGGCAGAGAGAGAGGGAGAGAGTCTCAAGCAGACTCCGTGCTAAGCGTGGAGCCCAACATGGGGTTCAATCTCATGACCCTGAGACCATGACCCAAGCTGAAACCAAGAGGCAGTCTCTTAACCAACTGCGCCACCCAGGCACCCCTATTTTAACCATTTTTAAGTGTACAATTCAGTGGCATTAAATACACTCACAATGTTGTGCACCTGTTACCACCATCCATCTCCAGAACTTTTTCCTGTTGCCAAACTGAAACTCTGTAACCATTAAACACTAACTATCTGTTTCCCCCTCCCGCAGCCCTGGGAACCACAAAGGGACCTCATATAAGTGGAACAATACTATATTTGTCCATCTGCATCTGGCTTATTTCCTTTGTGTCATGTCTTCAAGGGTCATCCATGTTCTAGCATGTGTTAGAATTTCCTTCCTTTTTAAGTCTGAATAATATTCCATTGTCTGGATATACCAAATTTTGTTTATTCATTCATCCATCAATGGACACTTGGGTTTTTTCCACCTTTTGGACATTGTGAGTAATGTTGCTATGAACACCGGGTGAATACATATCCCTTCAAGTCACTGCTTGCACTTCTTTTGGGTATACACCCAGAAGTGGCATTGCTGGATGGGACCATTGGGTTTTAGCAGCATGGAAGCCACTGGTGACCTTGGCAAGGGCAGCCTGACTGTAGTAGGTTCAAGGGATGATAGAAGACAGGAGGGATAGCAAGTAAAGGAAATTCTTTTAAGATATTTTTCAACAAAGGGGGAAATAACAGGAGAGCCCTATGAGGGCAAGAGAGGATTTGATGAGACTTGGAAGAGCAGGTTTGCAAGCTAACAGGAATGAGGTAGGAGAGGGCAGGGGGAACCAAGAGCAGGAGGGAAGGCATGGGGCCAGTGCGCATTCGAGGTCCGGCCTTCAGCAGGAGCAGAGCTCATCTCTGTCAACAGGAAGGAAAGGAGAGCATGGGGATGGTGATGCTGGCAAGCTGGAAGACTCTGGTGGAGGAAAAGATAAGAAAGTTATTCTATCCTTGGTGAATTAAGGAGCTGAAGGGAGAGGGGGAGCCAAGTGGGAGGGTTCCGAGGAGGGAAAAACAGATTTCCAGGCAGCACTGCGGGCTAGCTTGAGGTTTGTGGTCAAATTTTAAAAAGCCCAGTCAACAGGGCTGTGGTTTGCTTCGGTCATGGTCATTTCCAGGGCAAGAACTGAGTCACTGAGAGGCGTCCTTGACCAAAGCTGGGTTCTGGAGTAGTTATTATTTAGAACTAGATAAAATGTAAACAAAGTAAGAAGGGAAGTAAGGACACAAAGAGGGTGAAGACCATTGAGAACTAATTGGAAATTCTAGTAGTGTCGAAGAACTAGTAGGAGGGGAAGTCTATGGTAAATTAATGTTCAGATAGAGTCACACACACACACACACACACAGAGAGTCACCTCCATGGGTGGAGTACAATTCCTCACCCTT